ATTATTTTCACGAAATACTCGGTTCGTAAATTGTGAAAATGGTTGGGGAACAGTACGACGTTCGTATAAAATGCAGTCAGCTCGAAAAAGGTGTCTTGTTCTTTTTGAAACATTAAGTTCGTAAGTTATGTTACGGTATAGAATATGCAAGTTTTACGTGACCAAAGTACGCATTATGTTTCTCGAGGTCCCAATTTTACATTTATTTAAATGGACCGAAAGCATGTTTATTTCGTGTTACACGACGTTGCTCCGGATAACACGGCATTACGAGAAAGGAAGGGATCTAAAAGAGTTATCCTGGTGGATATAAAATGCACATATTTGTGGTACTTCCAACGGGAATGCTAAAATGCTCGTATCCGTGACTGTACTTTTCAAGCTCCTCGCTTTAACCGCGTACTTTATTAGTATTTATGTTTGTTTTATGTATTAATTTGTCGGTGGCATTTAATTCTTGTTATTACTTTAAATTTTAAATATTTAATCAAGAACAGCATCAAAAACTTTTCTATACTCTACGTGTTATGAATATTTACGATCGAGTCACTAGTTAAAAATAAACGCGATCTCGTTTATATTTTAATTAAAATCGAAAAAGTTTAACGGTGAATGTTGTGAAATTGTACAAAACTTAGAAAACGCATTGGATATGAGCTCAAAATATATATTTGATTAATCATACAAGTGTGGTATCATAACGAAGTACTTAGATTTATGGAATTTAAACGATCACTGCAAGTTTTAGATCCTTGTAATTTTACTACCGAAAGCATGTTGCGGGCGACGCAAGAGGTCGCATTGCATCGTCGTATCAGGATAGCCAACAGTGAATATTTAAAGTAGACGATAACGTCGTCGATAAAATGATTATTTTAAAAGACAAAAATGGTACAAGATACCTCGAGATACGATTCGTATTGAGAAAGTTGACCCAAAAAGATATCCTGAAAGAGACGACACATTTGTAATTCAAGTTATTTAAAAACTGTATGTCGTGAAATCGATTCCTGCGTCATGAGATTAGCACACTTTAACGAGACTAAATTTAACTGTGAGAATCGAAAAGAAATTTCCAAATTGTTAGCAGCAAACCAGCGCCTTGAAATTTCTAATTAAAAAGTTAAAATTATTTAATGATCGATACCACTTCGTCGAACAAAATTTTTCTAGAAATTATTTGAAATCTACAGATACGTAAAAGATTTACGATTTTATTATTTGTACTTCTTGCACGATGCATTTTAAAGTAGAAAGTATTGTTTGACATTGGAGCTACTACTTTTGTAAAAGTTTCAGTTTGAAAAGCTTTCGGTTTCTAACGATTGAAATTGATAATAAAGTTAAAATTCGATCCTTTGTTTACAGCTCGTTATCGAGCCATGAATCGCGATAATTTAATTTTTGGTTGAATTTGCTGCGGTGCATTTTTTTTATTCTTATGGTCTTTGGCATCACGTGCCGGCTAACGAGGGCCTCGTTAGTTACTAACGAATTGTTTGGATACAATCCAGCTCTAAAACGTGCTTCCCATTTGGTTAATATTCGAATTGGCGATGATGTAATACGTATGTTTTGACAGGAAAAAAATACTTAAAACTTGAAATTATCTCGCACACGATAGTCATAATTAATTTTTGGTAAATTTCTCGACGCAAAAAATACTCAATCGATGCAAGAAAGAGAACATTCATTACAATAAGAAAATGTAAACACGAAATTTTATATATCTCTTACAGATTTTTAAAATTAATTTAGAAATAATGGGAAGCGTTAATTTGTTTTCTGTGCTAAAATGACTTCTTTTAACGATCAACGGGGAAATTTTACGAAAATGTTAATACTGTCAAATTCTATTAAAATACATAAAAATTCAGTTATCGTTAAAAAAAGAATTCATAGATACTTTGTTTTATTCTTTTAATTATTCTTCGTCGCGCTTGATTATAAATATTAATACAAACGTGCGTATTATTTTTTACAAAACTAATGTCTTACAATTATCACCGCTATTGTTATTATAAACCCGTGTAGCAGGTTAAAATTTATTTGCTAAGAACAATTGAATTTCTTATTTAAATAAATATTACAGTAAATTTGTCGACGTTACGATATATTAGTACTAACTTTGTCGCTATACTAATGCTATATTACCCTACGTTTTATAAATATAATTGAAGAATAAATCAATTATATTACTTATAAAATGAAAGACAATTTATCGAATATCCACAGTGTTCTTGTTTTCAGTCAAGTATGAGAACTTTGAAACATAATATTATATAATTTATGGGGAATTATACATCAGCGTGGACGAAAAACTTATTCGAAGTCACTCTTGCAGCCTTTGACTTTTAAAACGTGTCTCCGCTATCTTATAGAGCATGACGGTCCTTTTCGTCTCAAAGACGGCTTTATAGAACCTAACAAGATCATGTGCTATGGCTTCTTTAGACGATTTAAGGTCTTTGCACCGTTTCTCTTCAAAGTAAGGGATTTCTCTTATAATCTTGAACGTCCTGTAATTAACAAACCTTCGAAATTCTACGCAAAATGTCTGACAACTAGTCATCATTCGGCTAAGACAATTATTTCGTCTTAACAATGATATTATCAATAACGATTTTATTGTTTGATAATCATCGTATACGTTGATATTCATTGTGTACGTACATTGTACGTGAATGTACGTTTCATTAGTTTTAAACAGATAACTATACACGTAATTTTTAATTAACTTAAGAAAATTCTCTACAGTCAGTGAATAAATTATTATTGCTTCTGACATATAATTAAATTCTTTTGTAGATTTTAGAAACTTGTGAATTAATCTTTAAGAATATTATTTCAAAACGCTGTTGCATTCTTCGAAACGCACTTTCTCTGATATTGAGATTGTCAGTGACACGATAATACTAATTAAAAAAAATATTTGTCGATTGGAAATCGCGATTAGCAAATAACAGAGTCTCGTAATTGAAAACAATTTTGAACATTTCAGAATGATTAAAATTGTTTTCGAAATATGTGGAAATGCTTTTAGATGAAAATCGTATTATAATAAAAAATATTTAAAGTTTTAGTTTGAACGTTTGAAACGTAGTTTAGACGAAATTTTCAGTTTAGTCTATATTGTTTATCGTGTGTTAAGTATGTTTAATCGGTAAATCTGAGTATAATCAATAACGATATTTATCTTCGGTAATATTCCAAACTCGAACCTTAATTTCCTTCCTAATGAGACTGACGATATTATATGAAATAGATAAGTTGAAGGAAAACATTTATTAATTATACTGTATTTCCTATCGAAGAAAATCGTTTCTACTTTAGCAATTCTTGTTATCAAAGATAACAAGTGACCTATCCTGTTCGCGTTTCGATATACATACTCGTCAATATCTGTAGCATTTCGAAAACATCGATCGAATCGTGTGATTATTTAACTTGATGTTTGTCAGTAGATAGCATTATATAAGAAACCTTAAGGCTAAACAATTAAATAACAGTACAAAAATAATTTATGAAATATACAAGATAAGAACATGGAATAAAATCTATCAAACGTTAAAAGATGTATATCTTAAGTTTCTATAAAAATAAAAAGAAAATAGTATAACAAAATGCTCTCTAAAAGTTAAAATACTCTTAGTAACGATAGATTGCAACGATGCAAATCAAATTAGTATCGCCATTAACGAGTAAACCATATGCATATTCATCGCAACAATGGATAATAAATTTATATTTTAATAGGATTATAAATTAGAAAATCAAGCGTTGCGCTCATTAAAAGAAATAAAAATGAATTGATGTAGGGCCCAAAACAACGAGGGTGGCTATATTTTTTGTAACAGTTCTTTTACCGAGACATCGAATTTAAATTATATTTTACTCCGTTAAATATATCGATCGTACATATGGAACCATTAGAAACGTGACATAATAGAGCGTAAGAAGATTACGTAAGAGGCTCATAGTAATAGTTAGCGAACCTCTAAGCGCCTAAGCTCTTAAGATGACGACACCCATGAATTTTTACAAAGCAGGCAAAGGTTCTAACAGACAAGTTCACTGTAAACGCGACCAACTTGTACGGATGACGCAAAACTTGCGAAGAAACTTTCATGCTGGTAAACAGCTGAGTCCAGGAAAATCAAAATAAAATTCGATAGCCTTTCCAAATCGCGGCGATTCAGGTCTCAGATTACAAATAAACATTTTAAATATATTCCATATTTACAAAACTTTGGAACGAAACAAAATTAATAAATAATAGGAGAAATTCATTTTTAATTACATATTGTGATCGAAAGTATTTAATTTTCAGGTTAATATTCTAAATTTAAGAGACTTAGAAACGAATAGCATCGAAATATCGCTGGTTACAAAATTCCATTTTATATTTTCTAAAAAAATTGCTAAATAACAGAAGAAATTTATTTTTAATTAAATATTGTGATCAAAAATATTTAATTTTGAGATCAATATTCTAAATTTACCAGAGTTAGGAACGAATAGCATGGAAATATCTCTGTTCATGTAATTCCATTTTATATTCCGTAAAAAAATGAATAAATAATACAAAAAATTCGTTTTTAATTAAATATTGCAATTGGAAGAATTTAATTTTGAGGTCAGTATAATAAATTTATCAGACTTAGGAACAAATAGCATCGACATATCACTAATCATGTAATTCCATTTTGTATTTTGTAAAAACATTATTAAATAACGTAAAAATATTTAATTTTGAGGTTAGTATTTTAAATTTAAAAAAGTTACGAAGGAATGGCATCGAAATATTTCTGTTTATGTAATTACACTTTATATTTTCTAAAAAAAATGCTAAATAATAGAAGAAATTCATTTTTAATTAAATATTGTGATTGAAAGTATTTCATTTTGAGATCAATATTCTAAATTTACGAGACTTAGGAACGAATAGCATGGAAATATCTCTGTTTATGTATTCCATTTTATACTTCGTAAACAAATAAATAAATAATACAAGAAATCTATTTTTAATTAAACATTCTAAAATATTCTCACTGTTAACAAAAGTCCTTTCATTGTTCACAGAATGCTGCCGAATAAATTTAACAACAAAGCACCGAAACGCATATATGTACCAAAACTCTAAAAAAACTCGTTTCACCTCCGGGCCCAGCCATTTAAATCTGAAATAAAATCGTCCAGTTTAGCCTCGCTCGGTTTCTTTTTCCTTGTCGAACGAAATATCGATTAGCGGGGCACCGGGTGCTCGGGTTTCCCTGACCTTCGTATAGAACACGTTCCTCAGTCGGCGAACTCTCAGAGAGTCTGGCGAACTTTCTCCCAAGAATTGGCCGGAAACTCTCGTTCGGTTCGATTCCGCCACGCGTGTCCCGTTTGGTCCCGATCGGGGACGAAGAATTGCGTCCGCCGTGGTACGTTATCGAACCAGCCTTATCTCTCGACATTAACACCGTGGGTCCTTCAGCCTTACATATACGACATATCCAACCGGTTCACGGTGAAATTACCCATGGCGTACGGGCTCTTCGAGTTGGTCCTCACCAAATTAAAGCCCCTGTTTCTCTCGTCCACTTTATCGCCGGCCAAAACGGCTGGGTACCTCGGCGGACAGAGGCCCAGGAGATAAGGGACGAATCCTCCGCAACGCCAGCCCCAGAAACCTACTTTCGTGTTTATGGACTCGGCGAAGTACATGACCGCCCTGTGGTGGTCGCAGCCGAATGGGTTGTTCCCGTCCTCCCAGCAGCCTGGCTGGTTGATGCCTCCGTTCATGTAGAAGTCTATGTCGCCGCTCATCTCGACCTTACCCTGGATGAACGCGTTCGTATGGTAAACGTCGACGAACTCTCCATCGGACGCGTCCAGCTTGTGGTCCTTATCCGTGGTGACGAACAGAGGCATGGCTGGGTCCAAACCGGTGATTCTGGGCATTTTGTAAGGACGCAGAGCGTTCGCGGCGTACGCAGGCACGTGCGCCCCGAGACTGAACCCGATCGCGTGTATGTCCACCGCGCCAGCGTCCCTGATTCTTCGAACCATCTGTGCCACGCAGTCGCCCACGTGCTGCACATTACGAACTGCGATCGGGTAACAGGGCGCCTGGGCCAAACGGTGCCAATCCACCGCGATCACGTTGTAATCGTAGCTTTTCAGGTACTCCGTGCGCACGTCTACCAAATAAGACAGTTGCATGTCAGAGTCATAACCGTGGACGATGAATTTCGTTGGATTCGATGACACGAAGTTCGTGTCCCCCAAGTTCGAGCCGATCTCGTCCACCAGGATCTGCTGGCCCACCTCGAGGTTCCTCTGGGTGTACAGGAAGAACGTCACCTCCTTGTCAGGGCACGTTTGGTTGCTGTTCACCAGACACGGGCCTATGAAGTAGTCCCTCCCTGGCGAGCCTTGGTCTAGCGTGTTGCTCACGACGAACGGCTGCGTTTGGTCTGCCATTGCGGATCCGGACGTCAGAACGATCATCGCCAGACACGCCGCGATCGCTTTCCGAAGGATCCAAAGGTCCATGTTGATAGGAACGACTGGTCGCGAGGATCGAAGCCTCTCGGCGATTCCGCTCGACTGTCCGCGCGAAACTAGCGAGCGAGCCGCGAGGGAAACTTGACGTTGGATCAGCACGTAGCGCCTCGACGAGCCCGGAATCCCTAAAGAGGGGCACACACGCCGTGCGGCGGCTTGTCTGATTAGGTTTGACGTACGGCGCACTATCGATCGCGCGGTTTTGCCCCGACAACGGTCGAACCTATGACGAACGGAGCACGCTACACACCGCGACGTTTCGTGTCCTCCGCGTGCTCGCCATTTTGTATCGCCAACGGAACGGTAGCGAGATATCGACCTTGCGCGAGATCGATCGTCCACCGCGTACCGGCAACCGCGATGGCTCGTGGAACTCTGTCGATACGCGCGGGTTTCTCGAAAGTGGAACGCCTCTGATTGGAAATCGAACGCGTTCGATACGATTTTACGAACAAGAGAGTCTCCATTCGGATCGTAATTTTATTTTTGGCACTCGCGGATTTATTGTCATTATTATTACTATTATTCATTTATTAACGCTAGATTTACGGATGTTGATTATACAGTTTGCCCCGCGTAACACTTTTCACGATTTTTCAAGTGCTTGCGATAATCTGGCAAAAAAATATTTTAGACAAAAGCTGATCAGTTTTCGATTGACTATACATTGCAATAAAAAAAAGTTCGAATTTGTTTTTTATTATTGTCGGAGTCACTTGCATCTTTTTAAATGGCACTTTGTATTTTTGACTTAACAGTATTGTAGCCCGTATCAAGACGAATTCAACGACCTAGTATATCATGACCTTTGGATGACCTTGAAGACAAAGAAATGAAAATTTCAGCAAAAAATGATAATCTGCTTGAAGGAGTGATAATAATTTGTATTTATTATTAAGACTCGAAATTACATACAATCACATGTTGACATTTTTTCTTTGTTGTGAATTGTTGACAGTTCGTAACAGCAACCAGTGCAAAATTGTGAAAAGTGTTACGTGGAACACCCTGTATACCTACTTTTACCGAAGTGAGCTAATTTTACTCATAGAACAAAATTCAAGTTGTTTGTAAAAAAACTAGTTCTAAATCAATTTAAATGAAAAACTTATTATTAAAAATTTCATTGAAAACATGTTTCACGTATACACTGTGTTTTTAAAATGCATTTAGCGAAAGAAATTTTTTCTGATTTTTTTCAACGATAGCAACCCTACGTAATTAGATGTAAAATAAATATCAATTGGAATACCTTTTACAAATAAATATCGAAATTAATCCAAATCGATAGACCAAATTATTTGACAAAAAATTGATTATATAAAATTATATTATTTCACTAAAAATGCTCTGTATATACGCGATGTATAAATTGGAATTATGAAAGAGGTTTTTTTGGCCCCAGCTAACTAATAAATTGATGAGATTGAACATGAATATTTACGCATTAGGAGTTTTTAGAATTCTGATAAGAACTTTCTTCATGTAAATTATAAATTTGATGTGTTTAAAACAATTAACTGTTGAATCATTTTATGAGTCAAATTGGCTCACAATCGTAAAAATAGGTATACCACATTTGATAATGCGAAATGAAGGGGTCTGCGGGGGAAAGGAATCAAGATTTACATATATTTCATTACGTAACTAAAAACCAACATATGTTTTTAAAAAATAATATTTAAGTTTTATATACATATAGTGTTAACGGGAATAAACCCTTTAGTACAAAAGGTGTAATATGTAAGGAACTACAAATATAGATTTTACATAGTCAAATATTATTGCTTATTTAACAAAATAAATTAATTTACATTGCAAGGATAATTTTAGACTTTCTAATGATCGTTCAATTAAATCAGTTTTAGTGTGTACAAAATTTGCATGACTCATCATTCTATTTGCACAATTCTGAGATCCAAACGTTGTGCGGTAACTTTCAGAATAAAATAGTGATATTGATGGTACATACAAAGGAAACAATTGAGTAATCGTTGAACACGAAATATGACCTTTGATTAGCTTATTTACAAACGTAATATCTGTGATTTTTCTTCTATTATACAATGTTTGAAGATTAGTGTTAATAAATCATCATAATTATGTGATTCAAGAGGCATGGGACACCCACTATGCCTACCAACAAGACGAAATTTGTGTTGAACTCTCTCAATGTTGTCGATATACGTTTTATAATAAGGTGATCAAACTATGCTGCCATATTCATAACTATGAAACTATTTCTAATCAATGATTAATCTTGTCGAAAGTACATTTCTTGAACTACTTCTTGTAAAAATTTTGTATAAAAATTTTAATTGTTATAGCCATGTAACCAGCGTGGGAGGCCTCAAAAAATTTGTTAGAAATTTTGGCACTGCCTTTCTGTTAAAACATCTTCTCCATACGCGTCACACAATTTTATTTTTGTTTAAACAGCATTCTTACCTTTTCGGTAATAAAAGAACAAAATATGCCGAAAATGCAACTTCTGATTTTCCATATTTGACGGGACGCCAAAAAAATACAATTGCACAGAATGAAACAAAATTTTGTACAAATAAGTCTTGAAATGTCAGTTGTGAAAATATATAATGAGAATACGGTTTAGAATAAAGTTGACTGATTAAAAATACAATTAACGTCTCTGTTGGTAAGAAAACGAAACTACTTTCCGAGCAATCCAACACATATATTTACATTAATATTTCATTCTACAATGTTTTCTTTTAGTTTCTGTAGTTTTCTGAAGTTTCCTTTAGTTTCAAATAAAAAATAAAAGATTTTTCCTTTCTTGTCCTGGCTAATTGGTTTTGTTCCCGAGATCGCTCTTTAAGAGGAGGTGAGATGCAAATTAAATTTTTGTATTTTTCTAATTTTTTCTACTGAACCGACGAGTTAAATTGTAATATGTTCCCATAAAAATATTTTCATTTTGATCGAATGAAAAAAAATTCCAAGTTGATCGGTAGCCTTCTCAAACATAAATACGAGTGCAAAGGGTTAATACTTTACGCGTTTAACGATGTTTAACAATGTTTGACAATGTTTGACGATATTTGATGACATTTGGCGACGTTTGCATCCATGAGGGGCGCTATTTACGCTAGTGAACGAATGCCAGCGTGACTATACATGTAAGGCTTTTTACGATGACTCGTACATCGAATCTGCATCGTGCAAAAATGTAAATTATAAGCGCATTATTGCGAGCAACTATTGGACACATTCTACGTTTCTACATTTCTATTTCTTTTTGTTTAATTTTGACAATTAAAAGCCCCTCTAATGTGATCAGATTTCTTTTATTCCAAGCAGATACATGCTTTACGTTCCAAACGTCATGGTTGACGGAAAAATCGAAAAAATGTGAAATATTTCGTCTAATTAGTCACGGTCATTAGTCAAGACGCGACTCATTTATTCAAGCCATAATTTTTCTCCGTGTAAATGGAGAAAAAATTGAACTTTGACTTCTGGTAGCTCAAACGTTTCTATAGTTCCTAGAAAAATATCGTTCTTCCAATTAAACAAATGACTTCTACGCGATATACGATCGCGATTGAAGTAATTGCAAGCTGATATCTTTGATTTACATTGTGGCCGAGATAACACGTGGCTGGTTCGCGTGACTAACTTCAATGACATCGAACGCTGCTTTGAATAGCGCGCGAACTTCCTCTTGTGCCTGGAGTCTAGCGAACAATAATTAGTGCGATTTTACTACCAAATATAAACGGAGGTCTGATGTTATTTCATTTTGGGAGACGCGATTGGTGCAATTGAAACTTTTTAAGAGCACGTTCTTTTTTTTCAGGTTCCAAAAAATGCATATTTTATTCGTATAAAAAGTAGAAAAAAAACAGAAAAGTGGGAGTTATTTAACACGTTCACTGTCTATAACCCGTATACAGTTCATATCACCATGCTTTTGGATACGCCGCTAAGAAACCGAACAGTGAACGTGTTGACGTTAGTGATCAAGTGCTGAACTTATTCCGTACTTAATACTGCCAATATCATCGAACTTTTGTTAAGAAAATCTATTTCTCCGTACGATAGAAAAGATTTTCCAAGCATTTGTTTCGGAAGTGGCCGTGAAAGTGGACGTTTACTTCCGCCACGGATTGCCAGCTAGAAGGTGAAATGTTCGTACGTTTCAGTATGCAACTCGTAAACATAAACTTTCGCGTTAAGCGCACGATGAATGTTAATCGCAGCCGAAAACACTTTTACGTTCGTTTCGAAGAGCAGACGAGGTGACCCAATTACGTGTCATCTGTCCTATTATCGATAATCCTGTCGAATTGAAAGTCAAATTACCTAAAATCGTGCAAGAAGTCATCGATCTAGCGCGTTGACAGCAACAGGCATTTCCAAAAAGAACGCGAGGTCATCAAATTCAGAAAATAAAGTCTGAGAATAGAGTACAAATTTGGTCGATGATTTTTATTTTTTACAACTTAATTGATAGCCCATTCGTAACGTAATGTTATCTCGTTTTGTAGCCAATTTCGATATCAACAGCAATGTTTGGAATAAAATTTAAATTGAGAATTGTAAATTGTTTAAAAAAATTTTTTCCAAAAGTTCAACTGGATTATTATGGAAATCACTGGCTAGGCTAAAACATTCGATTTTATTTTACCCGATAGAAACATTCTAAAAAATACAGTATAAAAGGGGACATGTATTTTCTGATAACATAGAGAATTTGTAAATATTAAAAGAGAATTATTTATTAAATGAAATGCTAAAGTGAAAAGTTAAAAATTAGAAAATGACTGACAATCACATTCACGACAAAACTATCAGCCACTTTCCCTAGAAAACGAGTCGTAAATGAACGAACTATACCAATTAGGTGATCGATAAATCATCATATTAGTCGTTAATCTTTTCAAAGCATGGAACGTTTGTTGATACGCCTAATGGCAATAAATCGATTACCATTGCCGGAAACAGATTATCGAGAAATTAAAAAGCGACGTATAAACGTTTATAATCCACGATTTAAATCTGTTTAGGGAACAGAAGAGCAGTAAATGAAGGTCGACTATCAGTCGCCAGAAATTTGTAGCATGGCACTCTCGTTTGTGCAACGTCGAAACAAAGCTGAATAAAG